CGCAAATTGTGTTTCCCTCTGCTCAGCTGCAATTCGCCCATAGCAATAGAAGTTACATAAATGTATATATAACACCCCGGACTCTATATATGCAGTGGTCGTTGGGTTCCATTACACGTTTACGGGTTTAATTTTATTGACCAATGCCATTCAATGCTTCGTTAAGACTCGTATGTTTCAATAAAAGTTTTTAGGTTTTTAAGTTTGGAAACTTTACTTTAAAGAGAAAATAAAAGAAGATCAGCAAGAAATGTTTTGATTTCATGAAAAACTACATACGGTTCTAATCTACGAAAAATATTATACGAGTATAATATTACAATATAAGATACTAATATATTTTGGTCCGAACACATGTGAACAGCAGACTACAAAATTTTGGAATTGCAAAAAATATTTTACTTTAAAAATTTTATTATCTTTGTCAACACCTCACACAACACAAAAACAAAAAAACGAAATATATATATATATATATAGGATCGAAAGAACGTCAAGCTCTTAGTATTATTAGTGTGATCCCAGCATAAATGCGATATTCGTTAATGTAGTAAACGTCTTCCTGTTTCTCTACTTCCACTGATCCACCGATGGGTACTGAATTGAATAGTTTGAACCTTGTATTGTTCTCAACCATCCGCACAACACAACCTAGTTAACGTAGTCACTATGTTTTCGTTCACTAAATTACGTCAATGTCGGTATTCATCGTAGCCAATGCTTAAAAGACGATAATTCTTCATCAAAACTTTTCTCTCGWACACTTCGAACGCCGGCTCATCAGATTTTGTCATTGCTCATGTCTCCACTCCATATAGCAGGACGGGAATTTTRACTTTGGTTTTTGGTCATTAAGAGAGGACTTTAGTTTCAGTTGCCTACTCAGTCCAAAGCAGCACCTGTTAGCATGAGTGATCCTGCATAGTTTTCAAATCTTATATTGTAGTTGGTTTTAGAGCTGGTTCCATGATAGACGAAATTACCTACATCTGAATGTCAACAATACCGTGTTATGCTCTTGGGAATCCGCTAACTGATTGATAACAAATTTCACTACCTGACCCCTTCACTTCGCTTCGTTATACAGTCTACAAAAAAATCATTACAGCTGGCGCGGTTGTTGAGGCCAATGGTATCATTATCTGACACCATAGAGAGTTCKCCTGTCTGAAACCCCTTTTTTATCAAACAGCTCGGAGAGTGCTGTCGAATTAAAGTCGATAATTTCACAGATTTCCTCCAAGATTTGACAATAGCTGGTCAATTGTAGATATTGACTTATCAGCCACACTGATAAAGTCAATTGTAGATATTGACTTATCAGCCACACTGATAAAGTCAAATCAGTTTGTTGACGGAGGGCTTCAGACTTTCGCACAACACTCTCGATAGGACTTTATATGCAATATCAAGGAAGCTTATCGCATGATCGTCTTGTGCAGAGTTAATTTAGGTTTCAATTGCTTTCATACAACCAAATCCTACAGAGAACCTGATTGATGCACCTTTTCAATTCGACCCCTGCCGCTTTGTTGTTCATCAGACGGATAATAATTTTTATTTAGCGGTGACTAAGGGAAGGTGTGGACTGTATGTGTGGATTGACTTTGGATCAACTCGAAAGCTCGGAATGGAAGTATTATAGTTATATACTATAAGTATATGAGTAGATATATATTTTTTCTTTTATATTCGAGTCTTATAAATTTTAATTTGCTCACTGAAATTATCTATACAAACTGCTGATATATTTATTATCAATCAAAGATCTCCAAACAAATGACATATTTACTTCAATTTYATTTGTAAATGAAGCTCTATATATCCAGTGAGTATAAATATTTGCAAATACTTATTATGTAAGTATGTGTTTATTAGTCTGCTCACTCGTGTAATTTGTGGTATTTATTTTTCACTTCCCCAYAAGCTATTGAGTTCTGTTCGAATTAATGCAATTGGCATGCCAAAAGGCAGCTACCGATTGTGGCTTTGGTATGTGTAGTGTTGGCATAAATTTACGAACATTACTATACACACACATATTACACATACATATATTATATAATGCATAKGTACTGCTCATTTTAATTAAAAGTTCAATTCAATAAGTATTTTACCAAATTTCAACGAAATTTTAAAACCACAAATTATAAAAATGTCAAGTGCGGTCAGAGTGCGGAAAAGGAGAAGTTGGATATCATTTAAAAAAGATTTAAGGATTTTATTTTATAGTCGTGCTGAGAGGGAATTTTAAATATTGAAAATACCTTTAATTTTCAGGTAATTTAAAGAGCTTACTGACTGAAGTTGGTACAGATTACTTTGAATAAAATATTAAGTCATTACATGAAAAATWCAGAGCGCTTATACATATGCAAACTAATCATTTTTGCAGAAACGGTTTGGAATTCGTTATATAATAATATAATAGCCGTTTTCCATGMTCTACTCCATAGACTTAAGGTCTGCTCTCTTGTTAAACAATTTACATTTGACAGCAACCTTTTGAAGTCAATAAAAACAGACTTACTATACCGTTTATATTTGAGTGTACCAGGTTTTAGACTTGTGATGATGGTTTAATCGAATCGTGACTCCCCAAGGTATGACTAGTTAAGCTCTCAAGTCTCTACAACTTGACAAAACTCCTTTTTTTTATAAATCCTATATAGTTATTTATTTGAATATGCTTCAACTATTACAGCTTATTTCGGAAGAATCCTAGTTTTACTATTAGACGCCACATTGAATTGACCTACCAAAACCACTTTCATCTTGTAGTAACTTAAAGTAATATTTAAGGTCTGATCCATACTCTTCTTCTGTTTGTTAGATTTTTAGTTAGGCTAGGGCTTATCTTTTATAGAAAGCTTTTAAGGAGGCAAAATATGGATAAGTAAGGATGGCATCGGTTGCCTTATATTGCTGTAGAGGAGCTATAGAGAAAAGGTGGAGAGAGACTTCCACTAAAGGTAGTGTTTTGGCTTCAAAAAAACCCTAGTCAAACCAATTATGTTCTATATTGAGTTTGTTTAGTAGAGGGCGTCCGAAAAGGCGAAACTTGAAAAAAATCTTGGGCGTATCTAACGAGCGTGTTCCATCGACATTTCCAGTGCACTACAGACTACACCAACAGTAGCGTTTAGTGCCATTTTAAACATAGCACCTGTGAAGATTTCCGGTGGGTGTATTGCTGCGAAGTGTGCTAAAAAACTCAAAAAAGCTGAGTGAATGAAGAGGCCGAGCAGGAATATGCCGATATTATGTCGTCTTCAACTGCTTTCCTGAAAACTTGGATCACTACGTCTCAGAGGTCACTCGGGGCGGCTTTTTCTCTCTGCTCACATACCGACGAGGGGGAGGTGGTTGGGATGTAAGGACGTAGCYGGCGAAGTTTTTCACAGATGGGTCGAAGCTAGAAGGAAAAGTTTAGAGGGGAGTTTTCTGTAGGGGACTCTCCGTCAATCTTAGCTTTAGGATTACAGGAAGACTATAGTGTAGAGTATTTCAGCAGAAGTGGCTGCTTTCAAGGTGGCGGTAGGCATACTGCTATAAAGTGCAGCCTCTTTCGGGGAAGTGAGCATCACTCTGACAGCAAAGCGGCATTACTTGCGCTGAGAAGTGTCCATTTTCAATAGACATAGCATGAAGCTACTTTATTGCAATGGAATATCAAAATGAGAATAAGTTGATCTCCACTGGCGTCTTTCGTACGGGATCGATATATCTCACGTACGCTTAGCAGGCGCTGGTCAACGACTTGTACTTGTGCGAATGAAAACGTTATTATATTAAATATAGTAGTAGTAAACTCATGGTGGAAAAATTCAAATCGACCTTCTAATATAAAATCCTACTAAATTAAAAAAGCGCATTATAAATCGTAGACGAGTATGTCACCCACGTTATTGTAATGTGTCGCCAGTTCGTGTATTGAATAGAATAATTTCACAAAACAACCTACCGTTTTGAGCATCTTTCGAGAACTTTTTCTGCAGTGACTTCAATGTCATTGTGCGTGTGCAGCAAAGCCAGCCCGATCAACCTATCTTAAAGCATATTCGTCCACAGCCACGTTTTCATGCACGAAGTGTCGAAAAAACGTGTTCAGAGCTCACATTAGCCACAGGAAGTGTGCAGAATATGCAAAGAAAACTGTAGCTCTACATCGCAGCTCTTTAACGTTTCCCTTGCAGTAGTTAGTAACTTGCTGTAACCAATGGTCAAGTTCAGTTGAGCTTCAAACGTCGCATGACGTTGTTTATCCAAAAAGCCTTTGAATAAATCTATCAAACAGTCAAAAAGATTTTTAATTTTTTTGGTCTACAAAGTACATATGTATGTATATACTTTTTATGGAAGCAGCAAACTCAGTTGAAATACATCCAATACTTCTCAATAAAAGCGCATTTTCAAATCTTCGCCGATTGTATCATTGTATCCTACAGAGGAATTTACTCTGATACCCTGTAGTATTCTTCGCAAGTTCTCACGTAGAAATTTTCGCATTTTGTTTGTCGACCGCAGGTTCTTACTTTTCTTCGTCTACTTTCAGTTTTGTCGCCATTTTCATGTCTAAATAAATGGATTGACAATGTTCCTCAGCTTTTTGTATTCGAATTCGGAACGTTACAAGCAGCGTATCTATCATTTTTGATGTCTTTGCCAGATCGATCGAATATTAAATTTCCCCCATTTCCCCCCTCTGAATCCGCCACTGAGTATGTAAGTCTTAGTGTTAATCTAGGCGAATAGCTCTACTTCATTTCACACCATAAAAGAATGCGTTCTTCAGCATCAACTCCCAAATTTAAAAGTTTGTTTTTTGAAAGTTTTAAAGAATGTAACTCAAAACGACTTTTCTTCAACCTATTGAGAAGTAAGTAAAATTCGCCGCGCAAATGACACAATACAAATTCGTCAATAATTTTTCATGATGTACTTAATACGCAACTATTCATCACCATTAATATTGTATAATATTTTTTACAAAAACTCACCATCGTATCGGTGTATTCAATTAATTTATCCTCGGAGACATCATTAATTTTCTTGGCTTCCTTGAGCAAATCACGTAAAAAGTTTTTCAGCTCATCAGCTTCGATGTAGCCGGAATTATCGGTGTCGTATTCGCGCCAAATCTGCAAAACACACCAAAAAATCAAGGAAATAATAAGCAAAAAGTGAGTGATAAGCAAAACAAATTACATAACAACCTAAACAATAACAACAACGCTGAAAATTAATAGTAAAWCATAAGCTTAGTGTTGGCGGCAAAGAGACATTGTGGATATGTAATGAAAAATGTTGAGGCAAATGAATGGGCTTGAAAGATAAGAAGTTGACAAATACAAGAAGGTTACATATACCTCAGAAGAGTGCCCTCAATTTTGATACGATTTTAAAGCAAACRTGTTTGGAGGCGTCAAAGTTCGGCGGAAAAGTAATATAAAGTTTCTTGTAGGAAAATTGTTTAAGGTTTTTGTTCTTCTCTCCGCTTGCCTTTTCAATATCATATCTCATTATATCTCCCACTTAGTATTTTTGCTTTCTTCGGCTGTTGCTTTCACATTTTCCTGCTGCAAAAAGAAGTTTCATCTCCAACATATTTATTCATTATTTACGCAATTTCTTTCCACACAATTTGATATGCATTAATTTTGCAAACGCTGCACGAAAAATTGGTCGTCGTCTGCCCACAATATTTCAGACAGCCTATTTGCTGTCATGCCTCCTTTGTGCGAATATTTTATTTGGTCAGTTAGTTGCTTGTCGTTTTCCCTATTGAACGCAATTTATTTGAATCAATCTCAAGTCAAATTATATTTTTTTATCAATATCAATGGCGTGGAATTAATTGATTAACATTATAAAAGTGAAATATTTATAAATGACAAATATTTTTATTCCGTATGTATTCCGTATATATGTAATTTAGGGTATTGCTATAAATAATTTATTTAAACTACACCGTCTACCAATAGAGATACGTATGTAAAATTTTGTCTGTAAGGTTTGTCATTTCAGCATGACACGTTTCACTTTGGCGCAAACGTTTGGTTTTTCGTTGACTGCTGAAAGAACTCTTCGCGCAAAAAGTCGTCTTCTCTGTTGAGGCCTACTTCTGGCTTAATGGCTTCGCCGAAAAACAAAATTGTCAATCAAAGTCCTCATGTGACTCAGAAACGCAATTGCATTCTAGTTAGCATTATAAGACGAAGCTGACCGACTTTTTTACCCGAAATTTGGTGAAATTGATGCGAACGATACTTATTTCCAACAAGACGGTGCGTTGTGTCTTCACGTCTAATCATGAACACATTGCATGCAAAGCTTGGTGATTTGTTGATTTTGAGAAATGACCCAGTCAAATGGCCGCCAAGGTCATGTAATTTAACGCCTGGAGGATATTTTCTCTATGGGTGTGCTAAATCAAAGGTCAACGCCAGTCAATCAACAACTCAAGGGCAACATTCAGCGTACAATTGCCGACATTTCAGCCGAAATGCGGCACTGAGTCATAGGAAATTTGCCTAAACTGAGATATGCAAACGGTGCCGTGGTAGCCATTTGGCCGACCTTTTGTTCAAATCATATATGTCATAAGAAATATATTCTGAAAACACCTGTGGAACTGTTTATAAAATCTGTATATCGAATTTCCAAAATAAGTGGCTACAACCAAAATAAACGACGAAACGTAGCTGTTGATTCATCCCAGCTGGTTACAGAAAAATAACTATTAGCTATAACTAGAAAAAACAAAAACAACAAAGCGCCTGGAATCGATGACATACCAAACAGAGCTCTAAAGGTAGCTGTAATTTCAAAGCCCACTCTGTTCTCTAAAATGTACAACGCACGTATGAAAGAAGAGGTGTTCCCAGATCTTTGTATAGTTCAGAGCATGGTTCTAAACCCAAAGCCGAAGCATAAAAAGAAACCGCTTGGAGTTTGCAATCCAGAAAGCCGGGGGTTATCAAAAAATCGAAATCCACTATCGATACATAAAAGAAGCTTTCGATACTGCAAAATGGTAGTAAGTGATAAAAATATTGTTACGAGTTATTTTGAAAATGGAAAACTGATCTACGACACCAACGAAGGCACAAAGAGCTACCCTATTTCAAGTGCAGTAAAAAGGTTTAGTATCATGCCCAATTTTATGGAATATTATGTATAGGATGGGGTATCGGTTGGTAACAATTTTTTGTAGCTAACGTATAGGTTTCAGACAAGGCGACTCCCTATCGTGCGACTTCTTCAACCTGCTTCTGGAGAAAATAGTTCGAGCTGCAGAACTTAATAGAGAAGGTACCATCTTCTATAAGAGTGTACAGCTGCTGGCGTATGCCGATGATATTGATATCATTGGCCTCAACACCCGCGCCGTTAGTTCTGCTTTCTCCAGACTGGACAAGGAAGCAACACAAATGGGTCTGGCAGTGAACGAGGGCAAGACGAAATATCTCCTGTCATCAAACAAACAGTCGTCGCACTCGCGACTTGGCACTCACGTCACTGTTGACAGTCATAACTTTGAAGTCGTAGATAATTTCGTCTATCTTGGAACCAGCGTAAACACCACCAATAATGTCAGCCTGGAAATCCAACGCAGGATAACTCTTGCCAACAGGTGTTACTTCGGACTGAGTAGGCAGTTGAGAAGCAAAGTCCTCTCTCGACAAACAAAAACCAAACTCTATAAGTCACTCATAATTCCCGTCCTCCTATATGGTGCAGAGGCTTGGACGATGACAACATCTGATGAGTCGGCGTTGCGAGTTTTCGAGAGAAAAGTTCTGCGAAAGATTTATGGTCCTTTGCGCGTTGACCACGGCGAATATCGCATTCGATGGAACGATGAGCTGTACGAGATATACGACGACATTGACATAGTTCAGCGAATTAAAAGACAGCGGCTACGCTGGCTAGGTCATGTTGTCCGAATGGACAAAAACACTCCAGCTCYGAAAGTATTCGACGCAGTACCCGCCGGGGGAAGCAGAGGAAGAGGAAGACCTCCACTCCGTTGGAAAGACCAAGTGGAGAAGGACCTGGCTACGCTTGGAATATCCAATTGGCGCCACGTAGCGAAAAGAAGAAACGACTGGCGCGCTGTTGTTAACTCGGCTATAATCGCGTAAGCGGTGTCTACGCCAATTAAGAAGAAGAAGAAGAAGTATGGCATAAACGTAGAATAATGTTCATCAGATCTCTGCGTGAAGATTCGGTATAAAGTGAGCGTTAAATTACAAATGTATTAGTAGAACATTTGTTGTGAACGAGCCTTATTTTTTCTGTTTTGTTAGCGTGGCATCTGTCAAGCATATCAAATAAACTTACAGTCATTGAACAAACTATTGGTTGATTGTGTTGAAAATGTTAAACTATCTACTGAAAAGTTTTTTGAAGACAAATGCTACAGAGTCATCATACTCATTTAGAAGCAACATGCAACATGGTTTCAACGGTGCAGAGATAATTAATTTGATGTGAGAAATAAAAGACGTGGACGACCAGCAAAAAAGTTTGAAGAGTCGAACTGGAAGCAATTCAGATGAAGATGGTACTTTGAGTAAAATGCAAACGGCAGTCATGTTAAATTTCAGGCCGTGTGAAAGCTATGGGGAAGTCAAAAAAGTGTGCAAAGGGAATGCCACATGAATTGAATGAAAGACAAATGAAAAACCGAAAAAAACACTTGAGAAATTTGCTTCAGAAACACGAAAAAAATCAGTTTTGCATTGGAAATCATTTGATCCGGGACARCCGTCAACATCGACTCATATGGTTGCACAGTGCTGAAAATGAAAGTGTCTTAGCGGAAAAGCTGGCAGTAAGAGAGGATTCAATCAATGTGGGGCTTGCTTGCATGATACATACCTACATCTATACATTTTCATAAACTTTCTTTCTACATGTTGCTTTTACTTTGATTTCTATTCTGTGTATTTTACTAATATTTTCGAATGAGTGTTAAGGGGTTACATGGGTTCCACAGTTTCAAAAAATCGAAAAATTTGTGTGTCTTATTAAATTCTGTAATATCTCTAGAATATTGTYCTAAATTTTCAAGTTGATCCAACTAATAGTTTCGGAGTTACAACCTTGAAAAGTTGGAGGCTCGGAGTCAGGTATAGACTGAGGGGGCAGTAGGTAAAACTTTAAACGCGTTTTTCTCAAAACTATGTTTTCAAAGTCGGTTGTCAAGATTTATCGCGAACTACTTAACTCTACTCTTGATGAAATTTTACACAGGTCTTCGAGCTATCATTTACAAGGTCTTGAAAGAAGGATTTTTTTTAATTACAACTATTTAAAAAAAAAATTTCGAGAAATTTTCATCAAAATTTGCATTTTTTTATAAAAACGTGTGCCAAAAATCCAATTTTCATTTTTTTGTTTCCTTCGTCCAATACCCAGTTTATTGTCTTTACTAAATCGCGTATTTTTTTTTTTTATTTGAGATGATCCTGAAAGAAGTTCTGCTGACAACGCGGATGCACCTCTTTTGACGAGGGACTGCCGGAAATGGCATCTTAATGACTGAAATTTTGATATTTTTATTTTTTTGAAAATTTTACAAAATGTTTATTAAATATGAGTATTTTAAATAAAAAAAATTTTCATTAAATATTTCATTAAAAAGGCCGTTTTTGCCCAAGGAAACCTGTGTAACCCCTTAATTGCTTTGAGCGACTTACCTTCATAAATTCAACACTGGATTCCAGTGGATTGTCGAAACGGAAGAGCAAAAGGAAATTCTCCTCCATTGGTAAAAGTTGAGCAAGCTGTAAAGAGAAAAAAATAGACACATACGTTAGCGTAATGTTGAGCAGTAAAACGTAGAGCGTAAATGCAGACAATAAGGAAGAAAAAGCAGCAAATATTAGCTCAGGCTTACTTTACTGACTTCTTTCTCCTTTCTTTATTCTTTAATAGTTTTTTTTGAAGATATCCTTTGATTAATTCTTGCCTCTTTCATTATATCTGTTTTTCCTCCTCTTTAATAGTTCCTCTTGATTTCTCTACATCTCCACTTCACTTAACTTGCGCTTAATGAAAAAGTAATGTTGCAGAAAAATCCAARAAATTCTACTCAAGCGCAATCGAATTCGTAATCAAATTGAATTCGCAGTCAGCACTACAATTCGTTGGCGGCAAAATTGCAGAGAGAAAATTGTCATCGGCAGAGTTGGAGTGCCGAGGTTTCTCATGCAAACTCGTGTATTTTAATATGAGCCTTTCAGATATTTACGGTAACATTGGGGGACATAAAAATTGAACGTTGAATGTGCTCTAGCGTGACTCAGGCGCGAAAAACTTTTTAGTAAACGCTTTCTAGTATAATTTATACAATTTACATACTTAAACTGGTGGGTATATGAAATACGAAAATTTTGTCGCTCAAATTTAAAAATTTATTAAAAAATTCAAAAGAATCTCTATGCATTTCTTTATCAATTTTTTATAATTTTTTCATAATAGTAACTATTTTCTCTCTTAAGTACTAGAACAAAAAATGTTATAACAAAAATCGGGGATCCTATAAAATATATAAGTATGTATATAAATRATCASCGATCATTGACGATTGAGCCGMTTTAGTCATGTCCGTATGTCTATCTATATGACTCTAGTGATCGGACTTTAAAGGTCTCAAAATACGCAAGAATTCTGCTCTAATAAATAAAATATTTTTTGAAAATGCTTGCCTGAAACCCTAAGAAAGAAAAAATATAAGTATTTTTATTGCGAAATGGAGAAAAATTACGAAACTTACTAAATAATAAATAATTATAAATTACTCTTATCAAATTGAAAGCTGAATTTTGTTATAGTTTTAAAATCATTTTTTATTCTTGCAAATACATTTAATCTCCTTCAAAGTAATCCCCTCCTGCTGCAATACGAATCAGAAATGCAGCATGAGATGGTGCATTATCGTGGTGCAAAAACCAAGTGTTTTCGGCTTACATTTCGGGCCTCTTGACACGAATAGCTTTTCGTAGACAGCGCATAATGCTCAAATAATATTCCTTGTTGACAGTTTGGCCCGGCGGAACGAATTCATAATGCACCACAAAACCCTCAATTTATCGGTTGTTTCGAGATTATAAGCGTAGAACCTAGTCTCATCTCAAATTATGATGCGTTTCATTACATTTTGATAGTCAGAACGCATTGTTTCCCAGATGTTAACACGACGGTTTTTTCCAAAAAAATTAGTATCTTCGGAATCATTCAAGATTTCATTCTTYTCSAGCTCAATTCATCTTTSAAATCGCCTTCGYCRATCCAAATGATAWGCCCAAACTATCAGCAATGTCTCTAATAGTTAATTGACAATTTTCAAGCACYACTTATTTGACTTGTTTTTGACCGATTTAACACCACATTTTTCTCAACAATCTCACGACCGGCTTCGAACTCGTTGTAAGACTTGTAAACACTTTCAGAAGACAGAGTTTGATCTTCAAAGGCTTTTTGCAACATCCTTAACGTATCTGCAAGCGAAATTTCATTAAATGCAGACATAGCAAAAACTTCACTTTTAGAGCCTCACAAAACGACGCGTATCTCTAATACTAGCGAATATTTTGACGTGAAATTTAGCATAGATCCCGCAATTAATTGCTATGTCTTCTCTGGCATTTGCACATTCGAGAAAACGGCATTTCCTGCAATTAACTTAAGATGCCAAATTTTGTGCGGAATTAATCAAGCGGAAATTGCGTTTTCAAACTCTACGCACTTTAACTGAAAATTTACCAACCATCTACGGGGAAAATACAGTTCAATGCAAAATTAATTTCACTTAGCGAATCCTATAACAACAACAGCAACAAAATCACAGATTTCAGGCTCCAATAGAAAATCAAATCCAGCTATAAATACTAACCGCACTCAAACAACTGGTAATCTGTTGCAGTAAAAAGCATCTAAATTTTGAAACTTATGACTGTCATCACTTTAATTCAAGCAGTTAGAATTTAAGCTTGCATATTTTGAAGCGTTAAACAGTTGTCGCTTTATAGCTTCTGTTTAATTGCTCGAAGGCAAAACCGAGGAAACGGAAAATTGAAAGTTCGTGGAATTTTATAACACATGGTTACGTTGGTATGCTTGTGACTTGTGGAATTTCCATTATACAACGGTGATGCATGTGTGTGAAGACAAAACTTTAATTAGTACACTTGTTGGCTTTCGCATTAGTCACTTTGAAATAGAAATAAAGGAATGAATTTTGTAGCATAACTTTCAATTTWAAGTTTTAAGGCTTCTATCTAAGGTAAAAGTCCATTGCAAACACTCACCAATCTATGGTACACTCGGCTACTGTTGAGGCGTTATATACAGTTAGAATTTACAAAAAATCGAATTAATTTAATATTATTTTCTTAATGTACTTATATTTAAGAATACACACAGAAAATTCCGTTCCATTCCAGTGTATACTTTCGAAGTTACAAGCAACATTGAAAAGACATTTCAGAGTGCTTGTAAGTTTAACTAGATTTAATATTACTTAAACGAAATCTGTGTGGGTTTTTAATTTGAGGGGATCCAGTTCAGAGATCAGAGGGAAATCAATGTGGAAATAAAATGCAATATAGCTCACACGTGGAGTTGGCTCAACGAAAATCAATCAGTCAATGTTCACATCTCATCAACTAAATGAGACTTGGCTTGGCACATGGAGTTATCTCCAAGTATTAAATATGCTTCGGTTAGCTACACTTAACTATTATACAATTTTATACTGCTGTATGGCAATATAAAGTTACCTTCCATAACCAAGTTTTAGTTATTGTTTACCTTTGAGAAGAACCTTAAATAAACACATATTACTTTAGTAAAGATTGGATAGTTACTCAAAGCTTGACTGCTCTCATGCTCTCAGTCTTTCTATACACTCGTAAAGATGTATGCGTATATTTTTTAAAGTGTCCGTAAACGTTTTTATAGTCTTGCAACATGTAGCTACAAAGAATAAAGTTTTGCTCACCTAAGGGTTGTATGTATCACCATAACTTAATAGTGATAGACTCGTGACGAGTTCAAATCAGGGTGATAGTCTCTCGTTCAGTCCCTTCCGTCCATGCTAGCTGTGAGTTGAATAAAAATTGAGATATCTTGATGAAACTTGGTATACGGGTTCCTTGCCAAAAAAAACAAAAACACGGTACGAGTTCGTATATGGGGGTAATAGGACCACCGCCACGTAATGTGTAAGATATGGAATTGAAATTCAAAGAGAATCCTTTCCTAATAGTAGTATGTCTGTGTGGTACAAATGTGYTGAATCTGCTCAATACTTCCCCCATATACCTAATACAAAGATTTTAGAACTTCATTGTGATTTCATACCGCTTTTATCGGCCAATATGTGCGTAATCTTAATAATTAACACGCTYTGTGTTCACCTAGACTCCATATGCCGAACAAGCCTTTTGTACTTGAAGGTACTTCAYTGGCTTTAATCCTTGCAAGTTACYMAAACTAGCTCTTCCTTATTTGCTTCAAATTGTCTTACTGCTCTTCCCCTTTCTTTGTTATAAGAGGAAATATTCTTTTAATTCATCATTTAAACATCACGATTGAGCAACCACGAATCACTTTTTCACCCAGATTACCCTAGTTAATAATACGCATCCTCAATGCATACCGAAGACGCTAGTGTTACTGCGGAGCACATCATCAAAGTATCAAAGATACCCTATATGTCCGTTCGCAATCACGTGCAAAGATTGGAGCTGTATTATGAAGATTTTACGTAATGTTGCAGACAATGTGGAAACGTTATAGGGTCATGTTTAATGACTTTTTCGTGTCAGAATTGAAAGATGATAATGTGGACGACSTTTTTTTCCAACAACACACAATCAATTTATTTAAGAAAACTATTATTGGGTGCATTTTATCGCGCCGGGGGCCTGTGACATGTTATTCATAATCCTGAGATAAGTCTGAGACGATTGACACCTTGGAATAGAATATCCTGCGCGTAATTGCTAACTGCTGCAAAAGTGGTCGAAAATTTGGTCTCTAGGCTGGAATTTATTCGAGCCATTCGCAGCAGCCAGTTGCCCAAAGTCATATTTAAAAGACAATGCAAACATTTAGTTTTATAATAAAGCTAAACTCTCTCCCATAACATTAAGTAGTATGCGTTTTATTTCKTCTGCTATGTTATCACTAACTGATTCCAGACATATATTAATGGAAAGATAGACAACATGGGGACCTAGATTTCCAGCTGATCCAAATACTCAGTGACCATGGGGGTACACAAATAGTGTTATGACACTTAAATGTCTTCTTCTCTCCCATAAAGTAATACGTAGTAAAGTTGTTCCGGTGGAAGAGACATGCGATGGAAGCAGGTTAGCTTTAGYGAATAAAGTTCCGCACTCCGGCTTTTGATGCTTCGTCCTACTATAAAAGGCTATGTTACCAGCTCCTATTTATTTTACTGTGTGTTCCGTCAAAATATATATTTGAATTATTTATGTTTTTAGATACTGACTTACTCTTCATTTGAATGTGTTGACGATCTCATTCGCCCTAGAAAATTAAAAATAAATCACAAAAATTTTATTATTTCTTCTAACAAATTCAACTCTAAATGAGTCTTTTCATTATTTCTCACTTTAGTCTTAAGTTTTTAATCCAAAAAAATAAAATTATGCCACCAATTTCAWAACAAATTCATCGCATTAACTGTGGTTAATGATTACCACAGGCATTCAACAAGCGCAAATTCTAAAACGGAATTAAATTTCTTATG